GAGCCTCTGCTTCTCTGTATGAAAAATGGGGAATAGACCAAAATATCTGCTACTTGATTTTGCCAAGTTGTGAGGGCAAGTGCAATAGTATGTGTAAACTCTATGCAGTTGCCAAGTATTATTATATTGAGTAAGAACCAACATTCCAAAGCAGTTTAGAATTCCTTACTCCTAGTGCTATGAGAATTCAAGATAGGAAAGTTCAGTGAGGGCAGAAAGCCAAAGCATGCCTTCTGGTTGGCCTTGAAGACTGCCTGAGATTTGAACTCAAAGAGGAAGGAGCATTTGAAGAGTTCACAGTAAAAGCATAGGTTTAGAATTAGGAATATGAGAGTCATTTACATGAAGTGATGAAGGCGCCAGCTCATGGTAGGAAGAGCTTTGGCCTGGAGCATGGTAGAAAATAAAACAAGAGATGTAGACTGAGGCTGGGTTTCAGAGGTTTTTCTCAGTGAGACTTGGAGTTGATGCATTAGGCAGGAGAGAGCCACAAATGGTGGATGAATGACACCTTTTAATTAAATTAATCTGGCAACATTGCAGAGGTGAGACTAGGAGGAGAGTCTGGAATCATTAAGCTTATTGTATTAATTCATGTCTGCAGTTCTGTGGGCCTGAACTCCCATGGCCCATAATCCTGGTGGGAATTGAGATGGTGTCATCCGATTTAAAAAGGGACTAGCCACAAGAGTGAGGAGAATGTAAATGTTGGAAATTATTTCCCAAAGTGCTGTTCTGTTCCTCAGCTAGTCCCTTCCCTCTCATGCAGTTGTTTATTAAATCATTTCGAATGTCTGCCGCTGCCGCTGTTGTTCCTAAGATGCTTAACATTTCTTTATCTCTTATAAATGACAGTCTCCATAACCTCTCCCCATCCAGCCCTCATTATTTTTCCTTTTAATCTTAAACTAAAAATGTGCTCCTCAGGCACTCTCTGGTTGTTAATTGGAATGTCATTGGTGAAGCTTGCATGGTGGCATTGTATTTATTGGGTTGGCCAAAAGGTTCATTTGGGTTTTTCTATAAAATCTTACAGAGAAGCCTGAATGAACTTTTTGGCCAACCCAATAATTACTTCCCTGTGTTGTCTTAATTCCGCTCCACCCCCACCCACCTTGTTCACATCTGAAACTGAAAGTCTCCTTTTAACCCCTTGATCTTAGCACTTAGTTAAGTGGAAGGCAGGTGGGTGTCCAGGGATGGGCCCAAATGCTTAATTCTCTTTATTCAGGTCTGAATGGGAACCACCTCAAGCAGTAGCACCTATCCCTAATGTGTAGTTGCGGGAGAGTTCTTTAAGAGCGGTGATTCCCAAAGTGTGGTTCCTGGATGAGCAGCAGCATCTGGGAAATGCAAATTCTTAGGGTCCCATACCAGACCCACTGGATCAGTAGCTCTGAAAAATGGGGTCCACCAGTGTTTTACCAAGCCCTCTAGGTACATGCTGAAGTTTGAGAAACACTGTTCTGGGGAAATGTTTTGAAAGGTTTGGGCAGCCAGGCTCAGCAAGTTAGGAAAACAGACTTTAGAAAACATTAGGAAAAGTGTAGCGGCTGAGAAGAGAGGCAATTACTTCCTTCTTGGAGGTAGTCTAGACATCACAACTGCCAGAAGTGAGACTTTGTCCTTAGCCCCCTACCCTTTGAAAAACAACCTGTGCAATCATTGCTTACTTCATACTTTGGAAAGACAAGTTCTTAAGTCAGTCTTCAAGAAGGATTGTTGGATCTTCCTGCTCAGAGGTTCACCTGTATTGTTAAATAGGTGGAGAAATAGATATATTTCCCACTTTGGTCAGCCTCATTCTCCTCTGTAGAGACATCTGAATACTAAGGATATGCTTACTTGATGGTCAAGTGGGAACAGAGGTTTGTATTTCAGTCTCTGTTCTATACTGATTGTTTATCCCATCAGAAGCAGCTTTTTATTGAGATTCTTTTGAAGGTGCCCCAATCATAGTGTCCTGATCAAAATGCTAAATTTGCCTGAAGTTTTAGTACCAGGCTTGATCCATGGACTGTAGGAGCCTAGTAATTTACAGTCCATCAACTTACAAAGTGTCTTAGGTCCTCTAATTAGTAAGTTACTAGTTAACCAAGAACAATTAACAGAGAGTCAGCTCTACCACCAGGACTAATGTTTTTATTTCAGTTTTTAAAACCCTCCTTTTTTATCTGTTGGCAACATGTCTATAAAAATCCTATTCTAATGTGGGCATGCCTCATCAGAATGGCAATCCAAATTGAAGTGTGTAATTCAGAGTCACTTCCCTTTGTAGGGAAAAAAAAAGTGTTTTCTTTTCTAGTTCCTAAAACTTCTAGACAAGGAAGTCTTCCATTTTACACAAAAAGGAAGAAGAGTATATTTCATTCTCCATTCTACAGTGAGCATTAATCATTAAGATAAAGTCTCATTGGGAGGAAAATAAATCCTGGCTAGTATGGCCAACCTTTTTGTTGTTGAATTATGCATTTTCTTTTTATGAGATCAATGAACTTCTCTGTGGGTTGTTTCCATTTGAGGAATGAAATGATGGGGCTTTAGAGTCTCTGCTCTGTGGTCTTTGACTGTATGGGTCTGTGGACTAAAGGCACTCAGAGGATTTATCTCAGAGGGGATCTTGATAAACAGTTCTGATATTTCTTGAGAAAACTAGGCAGGAGATTTCTCCTTGGTCTCTCATGCAACCAGGAAAGAGCTGAGAGGGCTAGAAAGTAGACTCTCTGACCACTCTGGTCCTATCTGGGTTCCAGGGGCCAGCCTTTTCTGTCCCAGAATTTCCTGTTTCTCTCCTACTTCATCTTAGCAGAGTGGCTCATATTACTGGTGAGCTTCAGCCAGAGGGAAAGTTGCCAGCCCCAGCAGCATAATTTACTCCCTTTATTATTTCAGCTCAAAGTATAAGTCTCAAGGAATGATATAAAAGGATGATTAAATTAATTCTCTAAAATTCTGAAAGACCAGAGAAAAAGTCTATTATGATTTCAACATTGCTTTCTGTAAATCAGGGTGTTGTAGAGGTATATTTTTCAGCACAGTGTTCTTTCTTTACCATCAAGCCCTCTTAGTGCTGCCTTTGGGGATGGGCAGTATAGGAGGGAGCAGCAGAAATGACAAGGAAGGCAAGGGATAATGGAAATTAGTTGCTACAGCCCAATTCCTTATACTGTTTTAATTATCTGCTTCCATTTATATTGAACCAAAATATCTTCAGTGGTATTGAGCTATCATCTCTTCCCCACTGCTCCACTCTCTTCTACAGCCTAGCAAATACTTTCCTGCTCAGTGTGTTTCAAGGTTACTGTGAAATTGACACAGAAGCCATGGAAGTAACAGGAGTTAAGGAACTCACACGGACCCCCAAATGTGCCACCAGTGACTATTGTGAGGGCAATAATTAAGGTTATCGTTTGGCCTTGGTGAAGTTATAGTGGGTTTTCCATAGCAGACTTGGGACATCTCTGTCTCTTTGATAATATACACATCAATCTTGATGTGGACAAGTTTATAATACACAGCTAAGTCACTGCTGGCACAAGGGAAGACATGAGTACAATACTGTATTTCCCTGCAGGATCCTCCCCTATCCTCAATCTGTCGCTCACTCTTATGCACACACCTACACGCACATATACACCGTTTACTCTTCAGTATTTTGGTAGCACATCATACCTGTGACTTACATAGTATAGAGACACATGGTCTCCTCATCACTTGGTATCAATAGTGGGCTTCTGGTCAACCTAGTTCATATACTTCTTTCCACTGCACCTAGAGTAGCAAAGAACTCTAACACTTGTGGACCCCGTGGGTCTTGTTCTTGAAACAAAACAAAATTCCATCATAGATTGAGGATTGCAGAAGTGTCACTTGTTAACTCCTGTCCTAGATTCTCCTTTTTTCACTGAATCTGAGTGAGGGAGCAGGCAAAGAGCAGTGGCAGGCTATGGTGTTCAGTTTCTTTTGCTCCTGCCTTGTTTCAACATTGGAGTAAGCAAATTCCATGCTATCTTTCCTCCCACTTTCCTTTAGTGAAAACCCAATACTTGCCATTTCCTTTTTACCATTGGCTTACTGATAACAGTGTACTATAAATTTTCATTCACAGCTTTGAAAGGCTTATGAGGCTTTCCTACTTCCCATACAGCCCAAACTTTGGGACTTTTCACACTCTGGTCCTCTGATCAGTTTGATGCAGGAAAGCACATGGAAGCCACGTACCAGTTTGTATAGTTGTACCCTTTTGAACTGCCTACTCTTGAACAGAGTGTGCTGGGGGTTCGCATTGGCTGCTTGACACACACAAGGGCAATTAACCTGCATGCCAAAAAATAAAAATTAACCCTTAGAGTACTGCTTCAATTGATTTAAATGTCTTGAATTCTACCAGTTGGGCAATGCTTCTTTCCCCAGACCAGAGTGCTGCATATAAGTGCATATTTAGTTTCACCAAAACATCCACCAGGATCCTCTCCGCCACGGCTTTCCTGAGATGCTCCTGGTCCTTTATCATTAATCAACCAATGGCTTTTAAAAGGTCCAAAACACAACCACTGTGTTTAATTGAAAGTGGACTTCATTTCTAATGTGCTGGAGAGTGGGAGGGACTGCTTTTAGCTTAGGTTTGTGTCCTCTCAAAGAAAGAAGTCAGTTCTTTAAGGGTTAATATGAAATTGAGGAATTTGGTGGTCTCTTCTGCTTGTCCTTCCTTCAAGGTGTCTGCATGATCCTCTTTAGATTCTTAGCTCAACTGTTGAATGATAATGGAAACAGTACATGTATCAAATGACGAAAACAAAGAACAAAAGACTGTATGGTTGAATGGAAAGACCCCTTGGCAATGCTTGCTTGATGATCACAGGGGATACAAAGACCAAATGTTTTATTTTTTGAACGTTCATTTTGTCCTCTTCCCTAAGCACCGTCACTGCACAGCGATGTGGAACACATGATGATGCTTTTCATTTACCTCTTGCTTTTCTCTTCTTCCTGTCTAATAGCCCAATAGAATCCTGCCAGAATTTCTACAAAGATTTCACATTACAGATCGACATGGCTTTCAACGTATTCTTCCTTCTCTACTTTGGCTTGCGGGTAAGTTTGAACAACACTGCTCGGTATCACAATGGAGCATGTGAGTCTTGTACCTAGGGACCATTCCCCATCAGCATCTGCTCCCGCAGTCAAGATGAAGCCCAATGTTTGCAGGGAGACAAGAGACCCGAATTCTGATTTTCATTTTGTGAGAGAACCGTTTCCTTAGGTCAGCATTTCCTCATGTATATGTTAATTTTGTTCCGAGCAGGAGAAATAAGGATTGAAATGACTATTACACCCTTACTGGTCCACTGTTTCTCATCTCTCTATTCACGCACGAATGCATGGTTGCCTTAAACAGGAGGGAAAACCTTCCACTCTTAAAATTATGTTTATCAGTGCTCACTTAACTGAATCCTGAGAGAACAGTGAGTTGTGAGGGTTGTATCAAGGGGGTAGATTGGCAGAATTGAGGGCTCGGAGGATTTATCCAAACCATGTCTACAAAGGGAGCTGTATAGAGACTGTGTGGGTGAATATTTACAGTAGAGACTTTAAAAAGGGTGAGATTACTCAAACTGCCCTATAATGCTATTGAAAACCACAGAAAAATGTACTCCCTGATCTTTCTCCAAGGCTCACAGAGTATATAGTCACTCTCTAGAAAAGACTGTGGATCCAAATTCTAAGACAGAAATCGCAAGGGATTGGCGTAGATATAAGAAGAACATAGCATCTCCCTCTGGGTCCCCATGAAAAACTGAAATGTACCCTTTGGAAGAAAGAGTATAGTTTGTTGCAGAGCCCCAGTTTGAGTTCCCTGAGTCATGCAGCAAATTCCCACTGGCTATCTCTTTCCCATATGGTAGTGTAGATACTTCCATGTTACTCTCTCCATTCCTTCCTCCCCCATACCCCAGCAAATTCCCACTGGCTATCTCTTTCCCATATGGTAGTGTAGATACTTCCATGTTACTCTCTCCATTCCTCGCCCCCCCTTTCTCCCCCATACCCCGTGTCTATAAGTCTGTTCTCTATGTCTGCATCTCCACTGTTGCCCTGTGAATAGGTTCATCAGTATCAACTTTCTAGAATTGAGGGGTGGGAAGAGGTGGGAGGTAGGGGGGAAGCTTAAGAAGGAGGGGACACATGTATACCTGTGGCTGACTCATGTTGACGCTTGGCAGAGACGAACACAATATTGCGAAGCAACTTTCCTTCAATTAAAAATAAAAAAGTCTTGGGGGAGGGAAGAGAATAGTTTGCATGCTGGCACCATGCTTCTCATTTTTTTTCTCTCTCTCTCTTGTTTTTTCTTTCCCCCAGTTTATTGCAGCCAACGATAAGCTATGGTTCTGGCTTGAAGTGAACTCTGTAGTAGATTTCTTCACGGTCCCCCCTGTGTTCGTGTCTGTGTACTTAAACAGAAGTTGGCTTGGTAAGTCAATCTGTCTCCCTTCTTTTTTACTGGCTTATGAGCCATGGCTGAAATACATAAGGTGGTGCATCTGGGATGCACTGGAAGTCTGAGAATCCACAGAAAGAAACCTTCCTGGATTTGTGTGAACAACTCTCGGAGTTTTAGAAGCTGATGGTGAGAGTTTTCTCTCAGAAGCAAGCACTAGCCAAGAAGAATGTGAACTGTGAGTGCTTCAGAGAATGCAGTTTTATCATTGTTGAAGCCCAGGGGTCATCCTGGTCACAGCCAGAGCCTCTACATTCACAGTTCTCTTACTTTTCATTCAACAGAGAATGGGCACAAAACTTTCCACGTAACTGGTTCAGGTGCCCCAGGAGGCCTGCCTGCCAGCGTTAGCTTCTGTCTGCTTCACAGTTTTGTGATGGGTGGACCTGTGTGGTTTAATTAAAATTGTGAGCTCCTTTGTGGGGTGGGATAAGACACCTTTACCTTGAGGGAGATCCAGCTTCTTCCCTGTGTTAATGGAGGGGCTTTTGCTGGAGCTGTGTTCACACCTCACTTCCTGAATTTGCTTGGCAGGTCACTTCCTGTATCAAGTCTAGGATAATTTAGTGGGGAAAGTAACTAACTCAGAGGATGGTCCAGGGAGCCAAAGGTTTAGAGAGGCAGCTATTGGGTTCTCTTTGTCACACTAATTTCCTCAGAATGTTCTTGCTGTCACAAGTCTACAGGGGAAGTGGGGCGGCTGAAATAAGACTTGGAGGACAGTTTGTGGGTTCCCTCTGTCTTTATTTTCAGAGATTTCTGGTCTTAACCTACTTCTTCAAAGTAATATATATATAATAACATCAATAGTCAAAGATGTATAAAGAAAATATTAAGTACCTCTTTTGCCCACATCCATCACTACCTTCTCCCTGGGATGCTCAGTGTTACAGACTTCCACATCTTTCCTTTGTGCTGATTTCACCACCAACAAGCACAGATGTGCATACATCACAGTGTTTTAGAGATGGTGGTCTTCATATGAAACCATTGTTATCAGTCACATCACACTGCAGTTGGCTCTCTTACTAAGTAATAAGTAACGGCCATCCCTTCAGCTCTGTAATGATTCATTTTATGACAGTTGTGCAAAATCCCATACATTGCTCTAGCACATTTATTCAGCCACTACCCAAATGATGCACTTCATGATTGTTTACTTTTCTGCTATCAACTGTGGTTTGGTAAGCACTCTCATCCACATATCCATACAGTTCTATCTTTAGAGATAATTCCAGGTTCCTGGAAGAGGACTTGCTGGATCAAAGAGTATGTGTATTTTAGTTTGTAGAGATATTAATGGATAACTTTTCAAAAATGTTGTGTCAAAATATGTTTCTGCTAGCACTTTTGATGTCCTTGCTAGTCCTGTAAATTTATTCTATACCTAGTCCCAAGTACTTTTAAAACAAGAATCTTTTATATATGATGTATGCAGTAATACATACATGTATGTATGTATCTCTGTGTGTATATCATGTGGATTCTGTTTTCTGCTAGTTTTCTCATTTGAGTTGTGTTTACTTGCTCAAGGGGAATGTTTTCGTCCTTGATTTGAGATGTGCTCTCTTAGATGGGATTTTCTGGCCAGCATGGTGAGACCATTAGAGCCACACACCCAAGTCAGAAGCGTCCTGAGTATCCTTTAATGGCTCTGATGCCCAAGATCCTGGCCACTTCAGCTGAGCTCTTAACCTGCCTTGTGATGTGGGGAACTCACTTTTCTTCCCTCTCCCTAGTGTTTCTCATCTGTAAAATAGAAGTTGGGCTAGATGATCTCTAAGATTCTTTTATTTCAGAAAATTTCTAAACCTCTTGCATCGTTCATGGGAACTTTGAGAAAATTTGGGATCTTGGTTGTTATAGAGGACTAGGAAGTTAGTGAAATTAATCACCAGCATACCTGGGTCAAAGTTATGTATGGATTGCTAACCAGAGCCCTTTCTAAACCATCCCGTTGTGACTCGTACACACACACACACACACACACACACACACACACACACACAAGCAGACAAGGAACAAAGGAAGGGAGAGAAGGAAGAGAGTGGGAGGGAGAGAGGGAAAGAGAGAGAAGGTTGGAAGAGAAAAGAGAACAAGGGAGGAGGAAGAAAAGGAATCTGCCTTCTCTTCTTGGTTGGGCTCTAATTCCTCTGTGCACTCGAACAGACACTACATTCCCGGACCCTCAGTTTTCCCATTGGAAAAGTGGGAGATGTGGGCTTAAACTACCTTCCAGTCCGTGCACTTCCCAAATCTGAATTTGATGTCAGGGCCCCCTGTGGTCCTGGAGGATGGGAGGGACCCCTTCCTGGCTGTGGTGCAGACATCCCATCTCTGCAGCCAGCAGGGCTCACCCCTGGTGTGGAGCCAGGTCTCCCTCTTTTGCGTGAGTGCAAGTCTCCCTGAATAGTCACTATCAGGAGGACTTAGATCTTGTGAAAACCCATTCCTTTCTGTGGATGATGTCATTCTGACCTTTGGAGGTGTTCTGATCTAGTAAAAATCTATCTGAGCAAACAGATAGGAAAATGGAAGAAAGAGGAAAGGGGGTTGGGGGAGGGATAAATTAGAAACTTGGGATTAGCAGATACAAACTATTATATATACAACAGATAAACAGCAAGGGCCTACCGTATAGCACAGAGCTTCTCAGGTGGCTCAGTGGTAAAGAATCTACCTGTAATACAGGAGACGTGCATTCGATCCCTGCATCGGGAAGATCCTCTGGAGAAGGAAATGGCTATCCACTCCAGTATTCTTTTCTGGGAAGTCCCATGAACAGAGGTGCCTGGCAGGCCACAGTCCATGGGGTCACAAGGAGTTGGACATGACTTAGGGACTGAGGACACATGTACTACATAGCACAGGGAACTATATTCAGTACCCTATAATAAACTATAATTAAAAAAGGGGGGCAGAGACAGAAAAGAGAAGAGTAGTGAGAGATGCTTTCTTCAGTTGTATTTGCTTTTCAAAAAAATATGCTCTAAAATATGCTTTAATTTGCTCACGAATTGAACATTGTTTATAAAGCAGCTATTATGTGCCATGTACATTTTTCATATGATTAGGAAACAACAGTGAATAAAGTAGGCAGCATCCCACCCTCTGACATTGCAGTGGGGGAAGAACAGAACAAAAAAAGCCTAATAAATAAGTAAATTATATAGTATGTTAGGAAGCATAAGTGCTCGGTCGCTTCAGTTGTGTCCAACTCTGTGACACCATAGACTGCAGCCCTTTAGGCTCCTCGTCTGTGGGATTCAAGTGCTATTAAAATTGAAAACAAAGACCAACAACCTCTGAGGCTATGAGATACTAATAACTACTAATAACCTTTCTCCTCTTTTAGGAGAAAACACATTTAATGAAATACTTTTGGTTCTTTGGTGACTAAGCCTCTTGGGTGAAATCCAAAACTGGTCTGCCTGTTATGGAAGAGAATTCAGTATAGTAATATTTCAAGGAGGTCCCCATTGTGATTTAATGCATAGGTTATTGCACCATGAAACAGTTATTGTTCCGATGAGCTGCCAGAGATAAAATGAACATTCCCATGAGGTGTGGCTTATAAAGTAAAAGGAATAATTCCATTAAATAGGGCATTTCAGAAAGCTCTGCCCTCCTCTTAGTAAATGAAAAGTACTGCCTTTGCTGGCAGAGGTTTAGGACAAAATGCAGAAAAATTGAAGTCTGTCCCAAATCTGCACACGCTTCTTGAGCCCACGCTAAGTTGTGTCAGACATTTCAGTCTTGTCTGACTCTATACGACCCCATGGACTGCAGTCTGCCAGGCTCCTCTGTCCATAAGATTCTCTAGGCAAGAATACTGGAGTGGGTTGCCATGCCCTCCTCCAAGGAATCTTCCCCACTCAGGGATTGAACCTGAATCTCTTATGCCTCCTGCATTGGCAGGAGGGTTCTTTAACACCTGGGAAGCCCGGTCAAGAGCAGAGGACTGCGCTTCAGCTGGCACCATCGGGGAAAAAAGTGAAATGACCATCACGTCCCCTGCCTTTACATTTTCTGAAGCATAACTTGCATCACATTTGACTTCCTACTCTTAACACATGGTTGCATATTATACAGTACAGTCTTTATTTTTTTGCATGCATCGTCTTAGTCCATTGGACAGTCTGTTAATAAAAACAGCTAGTATTTATTCCGGTTGTGCTATGCACTGGGCCCTTGATAAACCCTAGCATACATGAAGTTGGTCCTCAGAGCAAACCTGTAAAGGAGGAATTATCTTCCCATTTTACAGATAAGGAGATGGGGGCTCAGAGGAGCTCTGTCTCTTGTCCAGGATTCAGTAGCTTGGGAGTAGGGGAAGGCCTTCCTTACCCGAGATCTAGTCTGACTTCAGGCCCATTTTCTTATGCTGCTCTCCTGCCCCTGTCTGACCCTTCTGAGGGGTTTGGGGCTTTGAGGACTGGGTTGGGAATAACTGAGCCACTGTTACTGCTTTATGTTGGCATCTCTAACTCATCCTGGGGCTGCAGGCAGGCAGGGAGGGGAAGAGGTCTTACTTAAAAACACACATCTCATGTCTCCTCTTCTCACTCTTCCTTATCGACCGCCAGTTTCTAGAACTAGAGCTAGCGTGGAGGCTCCCGAGTCCCAGACTATCCTAGCAACTTGGGGACTGGACCTGCTCCACCTGAAGAGAGAGAGAGAGAGAGAGAGAGAGACTGGGGCAGGTCCTTGATCAGTAGAGCTGATTGGCTCAGAGTCCCATTCTGGGCTCCACCACCTCAGCTCACATTGTGCTCAGCACTTGTTCATCGGTTGATTTGAGCACGGTCGTTTTCCTTGTCATGAACTCAGTCTTCTCACCTCTCCAGTGGGGATCATGATAGCACTCACCTGAGATGGGGATAATGGGGATCCAGTGACTTGTAATGAGTGACCAGGCACATAGGACCAGCTTTGGGAACAGAAGCCGTGGTTATCCACAGCCTTTCTTTCTA